CATTTAAAGTGTTTCCTATTACCCTTTTAACGTTACATCCCGGCTCGCTCTCAAAAAAAAAAAAAAGAAAGAAAATCAAGTGCCTTGGTGCTACAACTTTAAAGGACACAGGAGTCAAACTGGAAAGGGGTGGCACAGCCGCAGCAGGGACCGGCACAGATGGAGGCCGGAGAACTCCCCAGCGCAGCAACCCCAAAGCGGGGCCGTGGTGCTCGCTGGCAAACGGCCTCAATGCTCGCCCTGCCGGACCCTTCCACCAGCACAAACTGGGGCAGCAGCTCATTTACTGCCCTTGATGCCTTTGGAATTCTGGTTATTAAACCATGAGGTTTTTTTTTTTTTTTTTTTAAATGATGTTCCAAGCCCACGCAGCTTTGCTGCCGCGCAGGAGCTGGGGACAGGTACCGCTCGGGGGGGGGGGGGCACGCCGTGACGCAGCGGGCGGATGGTGCCAACGCGGGGGAAGGTGCCACTGGTTTTGCCCATTGCCAGGGAGCCGGAATCGACAGAGGGGACAGGAGGTGACATTGCTGGGATTTGCCATAGAGGCTGCTTACACCCGAAGGCGTGAGCCGGGGCGGCTGGGGGTGTAGCCCTGGGCATGGGTGCTGGGCTCCTGGCCGTTCGTTACTGGGAGCCTGAACTAGGAAGGGCAGCGGAGAGGAGCCAGCGGTGACATTTAGCGCATTTCTGCCTGGCAAATTTTGACCGGAGAGCTGTGAGCTGGAGGGGGACGGGAGAAATCAATGCACTTCCCCGAGAGCTGCGGCTACTGCTTCGCTGCGAGCGAGCATAAAGATTTATTCGTCCATGATTCGTATGTTTTCCACAAAAAGTCAATACTCACCTTGGCACTTTCACTTTCTAAAGCCAAGAGAAATGCTACGTTCTTCCACAGGGCAGGGAGCTGCCCTCCGCTGCCCCCGCTCCCCGCGTTGATCCCGAGGGCTGAGGACCCGCACCCGGGAGGAAGAGGAGGAAGGAAAGCTCCGACGGCTTCGTGGAGC